TGTAATCCATTGTTAAACTATCATCAGTAAGAAAAGGTAGACCTGGGGAGGGTTTGATATGCATGGAATGAACAAATTTTTAATATTTCCATGTAGAATTCTAGAATCAGAATCACGTTCCTTCTAATGTACTTCTCAAATAAAAGAATCAATGTATCGTCTAGACACAAGTTCTTCATCACCTATTATCCATGTTCGAATCCCAAAAAAAACCGGTGTGCGTATGTGTGCATCATTTACTTAATTCTCTACAGACACAGAACTGAGAGAGGTACTGTTGGCTGAGCATTTATGCATCACAGTTTATCCTGAACATCTGACAGTTCATTTCTACAAGCTCTCCCTTGTAGCATGTATGTTCCTTTCTTGTCAAACGAACAGATCTCTCAACATTAATGTTCCTAGGGGCCAAACCTACTTTTGAGTCTCTTTCTCTCTAAATGTGTGTGTTTCTATAAAACTAGTTTACGTGAAGTACAATAACTACGAGTCTTTTCATTCTTTAAGTTGAAAAGAATAGTTTTATGCATGGTGCGTCAACTTCCAAATCATTCAATTTCACTGCTATTTTCAGACCTTGCTGCTGTTTCCTTCAACATCCAAAACTTTTTAGCTTTTTAGAATGTTTGTGCACTTGCATAAAATGAGCTATGTAAAGCTTTCTGATCTTGAATTCTTGGTCCAGAATTCAACAGCCTAGACCATTTCAGTACTACAGCACTGGCAGAATAGAACCAGAACCAGAACCAGAATCTTAGTTTGACCACACAAGGGGGAATTCAGTCGAAGATGCCTGTTAATGTTTTCTTCAAAGACGCAAGGTGATTTTCATGTTCCAATCAATTCTCTTCTTTAAATGTTTGATGTTCAATTTAACTTGCGAACACTGATGTGATTCTTCCAATCATAACTAATAATTCAGTTCTTTTTCCCATTTCTAAACCGGCCCAAAGAGATTGTGCATCAAATATATATCCATAACTAGAGACTCTTTTCTAATGACGGGAGATAATCCTCTTCCTTTTAAACTAATGACTCGTATATTTTAAATGTTTATAAATGTAGACGTGTTTTCAAGCTTGACACAATCGGTCGGGAGATACTGGGAATTGCACTCCCTGCTGCTCTAGCTGTTGCAGCTGATCCTGTAGCTTCTCTTATCGACACTGCTTTTGTTGGCCATCTTGGACCCGTGGAACTTGCTGCAGTTGGAGTATCCATTGCTATATTCAATCAAGCTTCAAGGATTACCATATTCCCACTTGTAAGCATTACAACTTCTTTCGTGGCCGAGGAAGAGACCATTGGCAAGGCTGACAACAAAGCAGCAAGAGTTGAAAAGGGAAAGGGCTCAGCTGATGATAATTCAGTAAAAGTTTATGTGCCCGAAGATCCTGATCTAGAGAACGATGAAAGACTTACAGCCAAACAAGACTCTGTCAACTTGAATCATGAACCCAGGAGTAGTGCCACAACAGAACAAGTTGGAGAAAAAGAAAACAAGGAGAGCTCTTCAACGAAAGAGGGAAAAAAGGAATTGGTTCCAAATAATGGTGCTCTTCAAGAAGATCTGGAAAAAGGTAAACCGAAACTTGATGGTTATATTTAGAATATTTTAATAATTTTGATGAAAACTACTGCCACATGTAATTTCTGATTTCCTCTTCTTCTTCTTCCTCTTTTTTTCGTTTTTTTTTCAGATTCAAGTACAAATGTAATCAAGGCTACCTCTGCCAAGTCCAAAAAGAAAGAGAAGAAGCAAATTGCATCAGCATCAACAGCTCTGATATTTGGCTCAATTCTGGGTCTCATGCAAGCCATATTCCTTGTTTTCGGAGCCAAATCTTTACTGAACCTAATGGGTGTAAAAGATGTGAGTGCTCCCTGTAACTTAAAATGTAGTTCAGTTTTAGATCGAATGTTTTCCTCTAATATTTTGGGACTTCAACAAACAGAATTCGCCCATGTTAGTCCCTGCTCACAAGTATTTAACACTAAGATCAATTGGTGCTCCTGCTGTTCTTCTGTCATTGGCCATGCAAGGGATCTTTAGAGGGTTCAAGGATACGAAAACTCCTCTTTACGTTATTGGTAGGCCTTGTCCCTTTTCCTCTGCATATGGTTGAACCTAATATATCAACTTCCTTTGACTAGCAACTATTTGTTTATATGCCTCCATGTAGTTTCGGGATATACTGTAAACATCATACTTGACCCCATATTCATCTTTGTCTGCCGTTGGGGGGTCAAAGGTGCAGCTGCTGCTCATGTTCTTTCTCAGTAAGCTTTAATTTCTATGCACTATCTTTTTGCTAGAACTTTACAACTTCCTTCAAAATGACATAAATTTTGTGTCTTCACGTTCCAAAAATGCTTCTCTAAGACTTACTTCAATCCTTTCAGGTACTTCATTGTGCTTGTTCTCTTCTGGAGACTGGTGCAAAAAGTCAATCTCATGCCTCCAAGTCTTAGAGATTTGCAATTCGGTCGATTTCTTAAAAATGGTAAAAAGAATTTGTCCCCAAACAACTCTTAACTCGATATTCCAATGCCAAGTAAACTATGAGATCAATCAATCTTTAGCTCTTATTGAACTTTGAATGGCTTGGAGCAGGAGGTCTGTTGCTGGCAAGAGTTGTAGCAGTGACCTTCTGCGTGACTCTAGCAGCATCACTAGCTGCAAGGCTGGGCCCAAAACCTATGGCTGCATTTCAAACTTGCTTGCAAGTCTGGATGACATCTTCTTTGTTATCTGATGGTTTAGCAGTAGCTGGACAGGTGAAGAAACAAAAACCTAATTCCACCTCTCTGCAAAACTTCTCTTCTAAATGACAATTCATAGATATTCGGGTGGGGTGGAAGTCTAATAGGTATCTCTTTCATGGTATATGATTCATTTTCTTTCTCTTTTAGGCACTCCTAGCCAGTGCATTTGCAGAAAAAGACTACGAAAAGACAACAGCAACAGCTACTAGAGTATTGCAGGTAAGAAACGAATTCAAAACCACAGAAAAACAAAAACATAGTTCCTCTAAACAACGTAAAACATTTTCCTGGTCAGATGAGCTTTATCCTAGGGGTTGGACTAGCTGTTTTCGTCGGAATCGGAATGTTCTTCGGAGCAGGAATATTTTCAAGAGACATTCAAGTGCAGTACCTCATACATTTAGGAATTCCGGTAAATATTAAAACGTACCTTGTTTTCTTCCTTCCAATGCCATGGATGAACTCATCTGACTCTCCTCTTTCTCCGGAAACTCATCAGTTCATCGCAGCTACACAGCCGATAAACTCACTGGCGTTTGTTTTCGATGGAGTGAATTTCGGAGCTTCTGATTTCGCGTATTCCGCATACTCATTGGCAAGTTCTACAGCATCATCCTCCACCTGTTTGAGAAAAATTCTCAACGAAATTACGTTAAATTTTCTGGCTATTTTCTCCAGGTTATGGTGGCGATTGTGAGCGTTGTATCACTGTTTCTTCTCTCCAAAAGCAATGGCTTCATCGGGATTTGGACTGCTTTGACGATCTACATGCTTCTGCGTACTTTTGTTGGCATCTGGAGGTAATTTCTATTGATAAATAAATTTGTATAATCCCCGCGTTTTCTGTTCTTAACAAAAAAAAAAAAAAAAAAAAAAAAAAAAAAAAAAAAAAAA